CAACAAAGAGACCAAAGATAACCCTGAAGGAGCTGCAAAGCTCCACAGCGGAGATTGGAGTATCTGTCCATAGGACCACTTTAAGCCGTACACTCCACAGAGCTGGGCTTTACAGAAGAGTGGCCAGAAAAAACGCCATTGCTTAAAGAAAAAAATAAGCAAACACGTTTGGTGTTCGCCAAAAGGCATGTGGGAGACTCCCCAAACATATGGAAGAAGGTACAATGGGGATAAAATGGAGCTTTTTGGCCATCAAGGATAACGCTATGTCTGGTGCAAACGCAAAACCTCTCATCACCCTGAGAACACCAGCCCCACAGTGAAGCATGGTGGTGGCAGCATCATGCTGTGGGGATGTTTTTCATCGGCAGGGACTGGGAAACTGGTCAGAATTGAAGGAATGATGGATGGCGCTAAATACAGGGAAATTTTTGAGGGAAACCTGTTTCAGTCTTCCAGAGATTTGAGACAGGGACGGAGGTTCACCTTCCTGATCTACTTTTTAATTGTTGTTTGTGACTTTATTTTTGCTGCTATTGACAGGCCAACCTTCCTGTTTAAACTATTAAAGAGATTAAAATAAACTATTATTGGTAGTCTGGTAAACTTTCATTGGTAGTCTACAACCACAGACCTCAATGTTAACATTTCTTGCACTGAACATTCCACATTCAATCCAATTAAAATTGTAGTGCAACCAGACTTTTACATGTCTTTAAAATTGGATTGTATTGGAGCCAACACTGGAAGCCATCTATAACTGACAGACATAATACAATTTCTGCCTGTGTTAATCCATGATCAAAATAAAAACAGATGCACTGATCCACCATGGGCTCTGCCGCCTCAGCCGTACTGTCAATCTGTCATCAATACCTCCACTCCTATTTATAGAGTTTATCTTGTGATCGCTACAAAATAACTTATGTTATGTCGTGATCATGAGAAAATGATCTTGTGATCTCAACAAAACAACTTTTGTTATGTCGTGACCACAATACAATTATTTTGTGATATCGACAAAACAAGGGAATTATTTGTTTTATTCACGTCCTCTCTGGTCTTCCATACAGATCAGAGGAAATCTCTGGAAGTCCTTAGTCTCATTAAAGGCAGTGTTGATCTCTGTGACACTTACCTCTCCAAGCCCAGCCAAGGCTTCAGAGTGGCCAACTGGTGCAAATACTCTCTTAAAGCATCAACTTCCTCCCAAATACCCCCAGAGACACAGGAACATGTTTATGTGGCAAAACGTTATAGATGGACCTATGTTAATTATTTTACTCCAGTTAATAATGTCATTGTTTTTGTTTAATGTATTTTATAACCTTTTTAGTCATATGCTAATCTTAATTTTGAGTGCTTATCCATTATCACTTTGATTCCACATTTTATTAAAATAAACCACAGAAAATTGATTAAAATAGCGTTATGTGAAGATATTCTATTCATTGTATCTATGTGTCATAGTGATTTAATATATGTGGATTGACCATGATATGATCATGTAATGAACACTTGCAACAATTAGTCCAAGCCAATTGACACAATTTGGGTTAAATCCTTAATGAGCTGTTAAACAGGCCTGAGATCACTCCTCTTGAATTGATCTGGTCACTAATTGTTTATTTTCTTTATTGGACAGATTATGTCCGCCAGCCATCATACATTTTGTAGCTACAGTTTGTAAACATGTTACCTTATGTTAATTATGTCTCATTACATAGGTGTGTTATAGATGTGTATATTTTGATGTTTTACAAGTTCGGTATGACCACATCCAGTGTATTAATGTAATACATCCAGTGTATTATTTGAAAACATTATTTGTTACATGACTATTTGTTAATTGAGGTACATTTTCATTTAGTGTTTTTAACCTCTCTCCAAGTTAGGCATATTTATTAACACTGTGTCCCCTGGCTGTGTATTTTGATTGTAAGCGTTAATTGAATTTAATTGCATTAGTTTTCCCTCATGTTTAATTCCCCTCATTAGTGATGGGTCATTGCTTAATTTACTACTTGCTATGCTAATTGCCTCAAGAAGTAAAAGGTCCATGCTGATGACTGTCATTTGATTTTCTGTTTTTCTATTGCAAACAAATAAACTGATGTGAAATAAATATTGCTAATTATATTATCTGTCACTTTTCAGGTTGCAAAAATACATTTTAAATAAGTTGTACCTGGATATTTACATTCACTTCTGATTTAAGTTGAATATTAAAACATTTTTTTAAATCTATAATATTTGAAATCAATATTTACTTTTTCAAATCGAAATTAAAAGCTTTTCAATAAATACATAAAATGTGTCAACATGAGTTCATGCTGCTCTTCATTCTCATGCTCTGTGTATAAATTGTCCCTACCAGAGTTTTTATGTAGTCTTTCTCTGGAATAATGAGGGGATTAGTGAAAACTTTCAGTCAGACCTTTGTCTTTAAAACAATAGATTTCTGAAAGAAAGTCTTGTCATGGCTTCATTAGCCCCAACCTCCTCCTGTGGGGTGAATGTAAGCTACATTTAGTGCAATTACTTGACTAGAAAACAACTGTCAATCATTCTTAAAGGGGAAGGATTCCAATTAATAACCTCTTTAATCCGCTCATTTTATTTCCATTCACCAGCACCAGCACTAGGCAACTCTCTCTCTCTGCACTTTGAAAAGACTATAGCCTGCAACAAAACCACATTAGTTGTCAAGCTTGTTTTGTGCACACACTTTTTGTTGTGTTTTTCAGCGTATTACGCACATTGTTTTTGAAGAAAGGCTAGAGAGGATGCAAGGTAAAATATACAGAGATTGAGATTTGTGCGGCTTTGGTGTGCAGCAGCCGGACAAGGGGCGTGAACTACCTCAGTAGTTGAAGTGAAGTGTTGGAGGAAACAGGTGGAATATTGACAGTTCAACTTCATGCGCTCAGCACGTAATTTCTTCAAAGGTAGGTTCAAACCGCTATTACTCTTTCCCTTTTTGTGACATTTAGGCAACTATAAAAGAAAGGTTAATGTTTTATTAATCTTCGTCTAACAATGTGTCTATATTTAAATCTGAGGAGATGGACAGTGAAAGTGAGAATGTTGTTAGTATTGGAAACCATTGTTGTTTTCCACAAAGTATATAATTATTTTACAGTATCAGTGAAATATAAAAGACAAAGATTCTACATTTTAAGGACTATGCATTGTACGTTGTATATTTTAATACAACAATGGTATGCCTAGAGCTTAAACATGTGCTCTTGAATATCATTCAACTATATTATATTGAATACAATAGAATACAATACAATACAACACAGTACAATACAATACAACTATGCAAATGTCTAATATTTAGAGCAAGATTACATTTTGTTCATTTCACATTTGGTCCATTTAAGTTTTGTATATTTATTCAGTAAAGGGTTTCTTACCTCTACTGTATAAAGCTATGTATTACAATTTTATGGTTCATGTTTTATAAGTTCATGTTATACCAAGATTTTGCCCCAAAGCTTTTTTTTCTGTCAAATTTAACTTTTGTCCTAAACTTCAAGGTGTGGGCCTGTCTGTCTTATTATAAACTTGTTAATTATAGCTATGTAAATAAGATATTTCAGAAAGCAATTTATCAACTGGCCTTTGATTAACAACAATATCAACAAGGCAGGTCCTACAGGCCCTAGTTTTGTCGCACCTGGACTACTGCCCAGTCATGTGGTCAGGTGCCACAAAGAGGGATTTGGGAAAATTACAACTGGCCCAGAACAGGGCAGCATGGCTGGCCCTTAAATGTACACGTAGACCTAACATTAATAATATGCATGTCAATCTCTCATGGCTCAAAGTGGAGGAGAGATTGACCTCATCACTACTTGTTTTTGTAAGAAGTATTGACATGTTGAATGCACCAAGCTGTCTGTTTAAACTACTAGCACACAGCTCGGACACCCACAAGACATGCCACCAGAGGTCTCTTCACAGTCCCCAAGTCCAGAACAGACTATGGGAGGCGCACAGTACTACATAGAGTCATGGCTACATGGAACTCTATTCCACATCAAGTAATTCACGCAAGCAGTAAAATCAGATTTAAATAACAGATAAAAAATACACCTTATGGAACAGCGAGGACTGTGAAGAGTCACACACACAGGTACAAACACACACATACAAACACACATAACATACACACTATACACACACGTACACCTGGATTGTGTGTTGTAGTAGAGTAGTGGCCGGAGGTCACACACTTAATGTATTTTGAAATCTGTTGTAACATTTATTTTAATGTTTAAAAATGGTATTGCCTTACTTTTTGCTGGACCCCAGGAAGAGTAGGTGCTGCCTTGGCAGCAGCTAACGGGGATCCATAATATATACAAATACAGATTGGTTTTATTTTATTTTATGTTAATACTGTATAATATAGTAAAGTCTATCACATCTATCACATGCCTATCAATTTATTTCATTGCACTCAATATGCTTGGTAATGAGTTTATGCAATAGAATAAAGAGGCTCTGTCTTTTATTATCCGCTTTTGATTAATTGAATAATTATATCATGGCTCATTAAAAGATAAACCTCAGCGACAGATCCATATTCTGATAGACAACACACATACCATAAAACTCTTTAACTATTGCTCTGATTTAGCCCCCCAAAAATGTTTGCTGATATTTTGTTGATATTGAATAGATTATGTTAATACAATTATTGATATATTATAATAATGTTATAGTAGTGGTAGGTAGTACTAGTAGTATGAGAGTGTTTGAGAATTTTAATGTGGCTCTACTAAATGGCAAAGACTCAAGACTGGCTTCTGATCATGTGATGACTTTGACTTTGTTTTGCAGGTGCACAGAACTTGTGGAGGACATCTCTTTAAAACTCATCATTGGACCTGTTCCTTCACAAAGTAGAGCCAAGTCTACTTTTCCCTGCTAAAGGATAGAGAGAGTGTCCAAACGTTCAAATGCATTTATCACTGGATACCATGAGCATGGTGGACGACAGCTGCCTCTCGCCCAGTAACTTCCACGAGATGGTGAAAGGAGGGGGGACGGCAATGGGCGGCCGCGTCCACAGCATTGATGTCATCCTGGGCTTCAGCAAAGACCAGGACCCCCTGCTCAGCCCATCTGGGGGCCCAGGGCCCCACAAAGTGGGCGTGGATGACCTGGGGGACCCTGGGAAGCAGGACCCATCACATCCCTATGGGCACCTCTCAGAGCAGCAGTCCTACCATGGTGAGTCTCTTAAGTGTGAGATCAACACTACACTGGACATACTGTAAATCACTGTTCTGATTCTGGGGCATTTAGGGCCAGCACACTGTTTAGATGTACAGTATACGTTTGAGGCCAAAACACATTAAGACACATTGATTAGCGCTTTGCTGGTGTTCATAAGTTATCAAGCGAGCCCTCTCACTGCAAGCTTTCCTGCATCTGATAGGAACATGCTGCATGTAGGAAGCAGCTAGAGCAGTATGAGGCCAAGGAGACGGAAGATTGGTTGCATGAAATGTACTGTGTTGATAACCAAGGGGGACATTTTACTGTCACAAAAGACACATTACAGACATAAAGCGCTGGATTAAAATACACAATCAATGGCAAGGGAAAACATCAAACAAATACATGATGAGGTGTATTTCTCATATAATTCTAAACTTTCAAACCAACATTTAATTAAGTGGACCACAAATTGTGTCCGAGGGTTCTGTCTATGAGGCTTGAACTAGCACACTTCACTTTGTCTTTTAGTGATTAGCGGCTTTACTTAAGTCATTAAGACTTGATTATTTCCATTGCATCAATGCGTTGAGGCGACGATGACCTCAATGGCTGCATTGGTTGTAGCCTTGCAGAGAGTCCGGGTCATTTCTCAACAGCTCACATAAATAAATAGAACATTACATTGTATCTCTATGGGGGGCAGTAGATGACATGTGTCTGTACCTTGTAAATACTGTGAAATCATGCTGAGATTGAGAGATAAATCATAAAACAAGATGGTGAGGGGGTTTCGTCCCAAATCCCATCCCCTTGTGGAATTCCCCTAATCTTCTCTTGGACACAGATGAGATTTTACAGTGGTGCAGTTTCATTTCATCTCTGCATAAAATGGGATATTTTTTAATCTGTGGTAGTTTTTACATCCTGGGTCTATCTATGGGGTCATAAAAACAAAAGGTTTAGTGAAACACGTAGCACAAACCAGCATTTGATGACTCATGAAATTACAAAGTAATTGGAAGTGTCTTATGACAGTGTTGGTTATTATAAAATATGATCATAAGCACTGTTCTACCAGTGGAACAGCAATGGCTACATTATTGTTTGTTTCCACTTAGTATTCAGCACTGATTTACATGTCCTTAACACATAACTAACTTGTTAGTCATCCCTGTTCCGTCTGAATGGGCATTTTGTACTACATCGCATTACTTTGTCCCCTCCACATTGAGGTTTTCTGCTGGACTGTAAACATGTCGAGGTCTTTAGACGGGTGGTTCCGACAGGCTGACAGGCAGGGAGCTGGTCACTGAACCCAGCCTGACCCCTCCATTGTGTCACTATGGGCATTGTCATAGGCTGTTAATGAGAGATAGATCAATGGACCCCAAAATCCTCCTAGCTGCCCCTGTCTGGGAATTGAAGGTTTTGATGGCTTTCTGTCCTGATTCTATCAAGCACTGGTTTGATATGAAGATCCATTTAGCAAGGTTTGGGTTTGTTAGTTCCTACTCATCATGGGTTTGAACTGGGCTGGGCTAGCCATATTTAGTTTGGTGATTGTGCAAGAAAGTTTCTTTCATCAAGTTATGACTGTAAGTCGCTTTGGATAAAAGCGTCTGCTAAATGGCATATTATTATTATTATTATTATTATTATTTTTTGCTAAGCACTGTAAAGTAATGGTATTCATAGTTGGGGTCGCGACCTGGTTGCCAAAAATAAATACATGTTTTAAACAAAAAGTACAGATTATTGTGCGGGACAATATACAAACGTTTTTGAGAAAGATAATAAGAAGAAAAAACATATTGAGTAAACGTATTCATTGGTTTCTTTTCAATTTGAGAAAAGATGAAAATGTAATCGAAATGTACAGATTTTTAAGATTGTGTCATTATATTGGGGTTGGGGTGAGGTCTCAAGAAATTATTGGGAAATAAATAGGGTTCCCAGAAATTCTGGCGAAAAAGTTTGAATACCACTGCTGTAAAGTGAAGCATCAAAAGAGTTCCTATCCCTCCATGTGCTATAAAGTTATGTGGTCAATGGGAACTGGTAATGAATATCACCCACAATACCAACCCAAACTGACACACTATTACTTTTATGTGAGAGGCAAATTACAGAATTGACAAGAGAGTAATGTTACCATTATGAAGTAGTATTAAAATCAATAAAGGCTATCATTTTGAAGTGTCCCAATAGATAATGTGTTTACCAATAATGAATTATACCGTACAGGACTAGTGCACAGATAACTGCTATGATGGCAGATGCGTAGACAGAGCAACTGATCTGATGGTCATCTTTGTGCCCAATTTAATTTGATTACCCTTTGGATAATGCTAATTCAACAGCCACGTTGACAGCGTTTTATGGCTTTACCCTTTCCTTGTACTGTTTACAGTATTTTCCTGATACAAATAAAGGTCCTACGTAGATTAGAGTTCAGTATACATGGAAGCTATCAAAGGAATTAACAGGCTGCATCTGCTTCCCTCTGAGGATTAGTGGAAACCTGCAGTGAAAGCCTTAGCAAGTAAGCGCTGTGTATGCTGTTCATGTATGCTTCGTTACAAGGCAGAAGGACAATCAACATGTCTTTAGTTTGCATGCATAGAGTAAGACAATAAACTTCAGCTTTATTGACCTACAGTAGCCTATTGTTGCAGGTGTCAAATGTGTGCGGTCCTGGGAAGTTTTCAGAACAAACTGGTCAGGTTATTAAGGGGTTGTGGAGCTCATTTGAATATTCCATGTTTTCAGCTTTTCTCTTCAACAGCTCTTTTTCCTCTTTTCCATTTCAATGATTTTTCATTCACATTGGCCTTTAATTCACGTGATTAATTGTGAAGGATCCCTGTCTAGCTAAGACAGACATGTTGATTAGACATAACATATGGCTATTGATGATAGGAGAGCCTAAAACCAACAGTTGTCTAACAAGCTAATGATACTTAACTACGTAAAGCTTCAAAAACAACTTACCTTTACAAAGAAAGCCAAAGAAGCTTGTTTGGTTAAATCAAAAGGAGTCAAAGTAACTTTGTTAATGGATTAATCTAATGTGAATCTCTTCTCTCTCTCGCTATGGGCTCTACAGATTCAGGTCTGTACTCTGACAAGTGTGATGGGGAAATGAGTGATCTGAGGAAGAGTGTGGATAGCAACGGAGGGAAGAGTCCGGAGCCCTGCGAGGAAGAGCAGCCCAAGAAGAAGCACCGACGCAACCGCACCACATTCACCACATACCAGCTGCATGAGCTGGAGCGTGCCTTCGAGAAGTCCCACTACCCCGACGTGTACAGCCGTGAGGAGCTGGCCATGAAGGTTAACCTGCCTGAAGTCAGAGTTCAGGTAGGTTTGTCCACCACCACTTTTACTGGTGCTGTGCTCTAGTCAACTCCTCTGACTTTCTAGCCAATCATTGTGACTAAGAGTGTACTCACATACTAACACCTCTGATCAGGTACAACCTTGATCCAATGTGAATTCAGCCCCCAGGTAAATTGATTGGAGCTGAATATCAATCATCAATCAAATGTATTTATAAAGCCCTTTTTACATCAGCAGATTAATACAATGGTTAAATGGCTTATGTTTTCTAATGAAAAGCCTTAGTGGGTCAGAAATACCTTCTCCGAATCTTTAGATGATAATGGTGAGTGACGATAGGACATCTTTACTGTTGGGCAGATTTCTAGATTCTCAGGAGCTTCAAGGTCACTCACAGCATGCGTTACACTATAAATACAGACAAGTAACAAAGTAAGCTGTGTCCTGCACACACTAGCTCAGGTCTCTGGTTGTCTGAGGGCAGACATAAGAAGGTTGTCTTAGCAGGGCAGAGTGCAGAAAAAAGGGCAAAGTCTTAAAGCAGGGCAAAATCACACAGTAGGTCTGGATGAATACAGTTAAAATACTCTGTGCTGTAAATACAACAATAGCGGTTGTTCACGAAGCCCCCGGGGCTATTGAATGGAACGCATTACAATTGGCAAATTGCTTATTTTTCCAATCCAACAAAATGTAGAAATCCAAAATACTGACCATTCAAGAAATACCATCTCTCAATATGTTGATGATTATTTATTTAGATGGTTTATATGAATAGAGACGGATACAGTCAAAACATTGATGTTATGGACTTCAACTGCTGAGGGATGACGTTTTACTGTAGGGCTTGAACATGCTCCACATCAGCAGATTATGCCCATAGGTGCTCTGAGACTCCAGTAGGTACCAAACTTTCAATTAAGACAAGTGTCACTGTCCAAGCCTTGCTGACAATGGCTCAGGTCCCGGGTTCTCAAGGGACAGCCCAAAAAAGGTGCAAGACAGCAGCGCAAAGGGGCTAAGTCTTAGAGCAGGTCAAAACAAGGACAACACTGAAGGTCTCGGAACAATTCAATTCAATTATTCTTTATTTATGGGGAGACAAAGAAACCAAAATATGTAGCTTGATAAAGCACTATTCTAAACCCATTTGGCACCAGTTGGAATGATCTGTGCTGTAAATACTCTGGACCATAAATCCAAACCCTCTGCCTTCCTCTAGGTGTGGTTCCAGAACCGCAGAGCCAAATGGAGGCGCCAGGAGAAGATGGATGCCAGCACTATGAAGCTGCATGACTCGCCCATGCTCTCCTTCAACCGGCCGCCCATGCACAGCAACATGGGGCCCATGAGCAACGCCCTCCCCCTGGACCCCTGGCTGACCTCCCCTCTGTCCAGCGCCACCCCAGTTCACAGCATCCCGGGCTTCATGGGCCCAGGCCAGGGCCTGCAGGGTGGCTACCCCAGCCACAGCTTCCTCAACAGCCCTCTACCCATGGGCCAGGGGATGCAGTCCATGGCACCTCCCCCGTACCAGTGTTCCGGTCCATTCACCGACAAGTACCCAATGGAGGACGTGGACCAGAGGAGCTCCAGCATTGCAGCACTGAGGATGAAAGCCAAGGAACACATCCAGTCCATGGACAAAACCTGGCAGCCCATGTGATGGTCTGAGGAGGGCTATTGAAACTGTGTTTCCAGTCATGATTGGGGTTTTGGGCCATGATAATGGCTTTTTTCATGCAACAGGATTGCAGTGATGGCACCGACAAATGCTCAGTTATGACTCATGATATATCTAAGATTTCCAACACCAGTGACATTTCTACCCTTTGTCAGCACTAGAATGGTTCTTGGTCTCTTTTTTGAGTTCCATACTAATGATGTGAAGGATTGGAAATTGATTCATATTTTATGTGCCACTATCCAGAAAGGTTTTTATTCTGGATCCTATGACACAGAATGTGAAGAAAGGCCTTGCAAATGTAACTACACAAACATCCATTTTCCAAAAGGACCGCAACGACTGCTCAAATTAACTAGGTTATGATGGAAGACATTTTTTTTTTTTAGATTAACTTTAATGAAGCAACTGGAACAAGGATTCCACTGGACACTAATTGCCCTTTATGGCTACTTTTACATTTTGATCCTCATCTCAAAGTTTGGATTTCATAAAAAAGGCAACAAATACTTCCTTCTCAGTAATTCTGTAAAAATGCAAACACTGTACACTCTAGTCAGGTTTTGGGCCAGACCTAATTGTGGCATTAGCTAAAGAGGTATAATTATTGGTTGTAACAAGGCACAATGCAATGTCTCTATAGCTCAGACCACAACTTATCCTGCCACTGAGCCACTTGACACAGAAAATCCCAAAGAGCATTGGGTATTTTAAGTTTGTAATGCAGATCACTGACTGTCCATGTGTTAATTTGGTTACTCATTAGTCTTTAACTTTTTGCAAGACTAGTTTTAATGTTTTTGTTCTTTGCTGTTAGCCATAAATCTAATAATACGTTTACACCAATGCATGTCCCCTCCAAATCCTTTCATAAAATACATTCTGTAGAGTGCTCACACACGGTCACATTTAACTCTGCAAATTAAGGTTTGTGTATTTTCCTAATTAATCCAATTGTCTAATTTATCATGAATTTTACAGGTCAATTAACCAGTAATTCTCTCAGTATTTGTGAATGGCCATGCCATGTCTCCCATAATAGTAGTTGAAGGTTCCGGCAGTATGAATCACTATGTCTGTGACCCTGAAACACAGAATCATTCATCCAGTTATGATGGTCAGGTTATTTCAACACCTGGAGAAAAAGGATACCACAGCCACCTTGGATGACTGTCTTAACTGCAGTTATAGTGAAGAGCCTCTGTCCACACCGTGGGTTGTGGGGTCATGGTTGAGATATCCTGGCTCAGGCGAGAGGGAGCTTTCAGCTGGGGATGCGTAAAACATCTGTCATGTTATTTAATTTGAGAAGACACCTTTTAACACCCAATTAACATCTATGAAAGCGATTTACTCCTAGTCTTCCTTGACTTGATGAAGATTGATGGTTGCCCTGAGACTAACTCCAGACTGCATACACACATGTCGATATACACACTATAGACTGCACACACACTGATAAACACCTTCTTTCACGATAGTGCTGGTAGGTCAAACAATGTAAGGCTCTTCTTTCTTGAGAATTGTTCTTGAGGAGTGCTACATATTAAAATCCAATCTCTGAATTTGATGGCACCCTCAGTGTGTGACATCTTGATTATCTGAGGAAACAATATCTATTTTAGTAATTTTTTGGAGAGCTGCTAAACATGTTTGGGTCAGTCGAAAAGAGTGATCTATGGCGTAAGCCTCCTACAGAGAGAAGGGAAGCCAGGAGACCTCCCTCTCACACAGTAGGGGTGGGAATAGGACAGGGGGACAGAGCGAAAGAGGCCAGTGAAGTAACCTTTTTTTTGCCTCAGTGGCTGTTGGAGAAGAAAACATGTTGGCAGCTTGGCCTTCCGTCACTGTGTGTACGTGCAGAGCAGCAGAAGGAGAACGGTCTGATGTGTCACCCTACATAGTTTCCTCTTTGTTTGGCACAATTGATCCAAGCCATCTTCTTTGTCTAAAGTTCGAGGGGGAAAACGGTCACAGACTGCACTAAATAGGCCTCTGTAGCGAGACCCCGGGAATGAAAAAAGAGCATGAATTGTCTATTTTGCCATGAAAGGGTTTTTTGAATTCTATGTCAAAGAGATACTACATGGGGTGTACGGGTCCATTGTGGCATTATGTTTTGATAATGACTGTATGCATATTTAACATGGCATTGGGGAGATTGGGTCCTCATCAACTGGTTTGTGTACGGTAAAAAAGACAATCTCCAACCACCCTGTATACTGCACATTGTTAAACGATAAAATGTCATATTAAGGGCTACGTAGGATTAATCATTTCTGATGTAAAATAATTTAGCATTTTGATTTTGACAATCCTTTTAAATATTATTTATCCTATTGCAATGTGTGAGGGGTAACATTGAATTACTATTAATTCAGTGATCGTGTGTAGACTATCACAATATGGAGGAAATAAATTCCTTTACAAAAAAGTGGAATTGTTGCAGCATTTGTTTTGAATGGAAACTCAAATTGTCTCTGCTGCCGGACAAATGATTAGTCCAGAGTAACAGAGTAGAACAGTTTTAAAAAGTCGCCACAGAATTGTCAGTTCATCCAACTTACTGTTTGACTGGTGTTTACAAAGTATTATAAAGTGTTATAAAGCTGTCTCTTTGTCATACAGTAAAATCCCCATTGGTCAATACACAAAATAATATTCAGTTGTTTTAGTGGTGTGTTATGGGATTCTATGCTCACCTCTCATGCTCAACATTGTTGATTTGCTAATTATGCCCTATTAAATGGGCTGTTCTTTTTTTTTTCTCATTTACTTGCAGTTGTCTAGTTTTTATGTTATCAGTGTATACTCTTTAGCTCTTAACTCTAGTCAGGTATTTTCAGGACCTCACACCCAACATAGAAACAGGGTTAGTTTGAACATTAAACAATATGTTTAGAAATGTTTGTTCATCGTGTGATACTGGGACCAAGAATAAGCCAAAGTATAGATATAAAAAGAATATGTAAAAAATGCACTAGAAACTTGGGAAGTTTATTTTAGGTTTATATCTGAAAATATACAGGACATTTTTAATTCCCCGTATAGACATCCTATTTGTTACATGTTCTAGTTCTGTTACTGTTTACTTTTATTTTGTCTGAAATGTTGATGTCCATGTTCTAGAAAACGTAGAAAATAAACAAATATAGTTTGATAGAATTGTTGTCTGCTGTCTCCTTTATCCTATCTACTCAATAAATCCACCGACTGTGAATATCTATCTACTGTACATCTCTGAATAAAAATGGTTGGCTATAGGACTGTCTCTCAAGTATAGTATTAGGCCTACTGAAGTATAGTATTAGGCCTACTGTACTTTGTGAAGGATAGAGATAGGATCTGAAACAGTGAATAAGTAGCCTCTCTTCGTCCCGGATCCTCCTCTCCTCTCCCCTGGTCCCTGGCTGGTGGCATGGTGCCAGCCCGTTAGGAAAATGAGGCTCCAATCAATCAGGCTCCCGGGGGGGGGGGGGGGGGGGCACAGGGCCCGCTGCTCGCTAATTGCCCCTGGGTGCTGCCGCTGCAGCACATGTTCACAGTGGGCTGTACCTGCCGCGCTCGCCTCTCCAGCATGTGAACCACAATACCGGACAGATGGAAGCTCGGGAGGACCTCTCACCGGGGGCCATCTGGGGCCAAAACGTGAACAGTGAAAACAACAGTGTGGGGAATGTAAAAACAAAAACCATGATTTTGCTCTGAAGATTATTTTTGGATCTGTGTGTGTTTTGAATTGTAACTACCTGGTGTTTTTTTGTGGAGGTAATTCAATGACTGATTCTAAACTAAACTTTGTTGGAGAAAGTGTTAGGATCTCTCACATTTGCCGACAAACAATTAAGCAATCAAACTTTAACCTTCAGAATCTAGTTTCTCTCATCAGTAAAGAACAGCTCACTGCACACGTGCTGTTATATTGTTCTTGGAGATCCAATCTAAACAGTGTTCTCCCTGAGCCAAACAAACAGCACTCTGTGTGGATGAGAAAACATAGTTTTCTCTTGCAATGGGAGGACATGGACATCCTAATCATGAGGGGATGGGGGGGGAAGAAGAGAGAGGGAGTGTAAACAATAGAGAGAGAGAGAGAGACAGAGACTAAATGTAAGTGTGGAAGTGAGAGAGAGAGAGAGAGAGAGGAGGGTGGGAGTAGTGAGGGTGGGATGGCTGCTCATCAGGGTTAATGATGTAGAAAATCCCCCAATTAGAGCCTTTTCCTGCAGGCCAGGATGAGTTCAGAGCGGGGTCCTCTGACAGCTCAGGGATTAGTGCCAGGGCCAGGCCGGGCCTGAGCAGACACTGACTGCTGGACATCTTGGCCGGGGCCGGGGTAGGCATGCGTTGCGCTGGAGTGAGTGGCACAAAGAAAAGCATGGGAAAAGAGCAGCAGATCAACATAGAAGCTTTTGTTGGGCTCGCTGTACGACATCCAACCATCTCCTCCAATTCCGTTCTCATTTAGAATCAGGGCCAACACAGTGGATTTACAGTGTGTTTGTGATTTATAGTCAGCATGCTATGTTGTCCACACACGGGTGTTGGGAATGCTTCTCTAATTGACCCCCAGCAACCCATAAAAACATTGTTTTTATTCTTATTGTTGACGACAAAACATTTATGAGTTAATGGGTTCTTGATAATAGTCTAGTGTAGTCATCAATGTCTAGTATCCTATATATTGACATCGGAAATCCAAACATTTCTCTCAAAATGATTCTGTCTTTTGACCAGGATATGGTTTTCTCAAGTCTGTAATATTGATGGTGAATTCTACATTGAATCAGTACATAAGAAATCCTCAAACATACATCTGGATTGCTTAAAAAACAAACATCTTGTCCACATGCTTCGCAATGAACAATGAATAAAAAAGACGGCACGAATGCTTAGAGTCCTACATCTATCAAGACACACTAACCTGAGATTAATCCTTGACCCTAGTCCCAGGCAGCTCCTAATAAGATTGGACCTGAGCATCCCACTGTCTGCTCATGCTAGAGTACACAGTGTTATAATTTCCACCTCCCTTTATCAGGGAAGGGGTTTCATTTGTCAGTGGATAAGCAAAGAAATGGAACAGTAGTACAATAGCAGATACAATGAAAGGACAGCTAGAGATTAATTGTAATAACATAATACAGTTATGAAGTGTTCCCAGAAAGCATGGCTCATATGTTAAAGGTCCAATGCAGCCATTTT